GATGTGTGTGGACCTTCTCCAATGTCATCTCTTGAAGACTCTCGTTACAACATCACATTCATTGATGATCATAGCAGAAAGGTATGAGTTTATTTATTGAAATATAAATCTAATATATTCAGTGTGTTCAAGACTTGAAAGGCGATGGTTGAGACAGAGACATGTTTAAAGTTGAAATGTCTGAGTTCTGATAATGGTAGTGAGTACATTGATGGTGGGTTCAAGGAGTATTGTGCAGCTCAGGGCATCAGAATGGAGAAGACCATTCCAGGGACACCACAACAAAATGGTGTTTGAAGAGCACATGAACAGGACAATTAATGAGCGGGCTAGAAGCATGAGATTGCACGTCAGACTGTCACCTACTTTCTGGGCGAAAGCAGTCAGTACTGTAGTTTATTTGATCAACAGGGGGTCATTTGTTCCATTAAACTGTGAATTACTTGAAGAAGTCTGAAGTGGAAAAGAGGTAAAATTTTATCACCTTAAGACTTCTAGTTGTCTTTCTTATATTTTCATTAATCCTGATACTCGTAATAAGCTTGAGGCTAAGTCAAGAAAGTGTTATTTCATTAGCTATGGAGATGAGGCATTTGGATATCGTTTCTGGGATGATCAGGGTCGGAAGATCATTAGGAGCAGGAACGTGATTTTTATTGAGAATGTTATGTACAAGGACAAGTCCAGTACAATTTCTGAAACAACACTGAAAGAATCTGAATTGGTAAAATTTAATGATTTACCAGAGGCCACAGTGCAGGACAGAGATGCTGGTGATGAGGAGAGTGGATCCGGGGCATCCACTCTTATTGTTCCACAGTCAATTTCAGAGCAATCTACCCCTATAGTTGCAGTTCGCAAGTCAGAAAAGGATAGACGTTCTTCACGACGTTATTCTCCAACTTTGAACTACATTCTACTGACATATGGTAGAGAACCTCAGAGCTATAAAGAAATCTTGCAAGATTAAAATTCAAGCAAGTGGGAGATTGCCATGAAGGAGGAGATGGATTCTCTGCTTAAAAATCATACTTGGGAGTTAGCAGATCTTCCAACTGGGAAGAAGACATTACACAACAAGTGGGTCAACCGGGTGAAGACTAAGCATGATGGCAGTAAGAGGTACAAGGCTAGACTTGTTGTAAAGGGTTTTTAGCAGAAGCACAATATTGATTATTCCGATATTTTCTCTCCCGTGGTGAAGCTTACAACCATCAGAATGGTATTGTCTATGGTGGCTACTGAAGATCTTTTCCTTGAGTAGTCAGATGTGAAGAAAACCTTTCTTCATGGAGAACTTGAAGAAGTCATTTACATGCAGGAAGAGTCAGTTTGCAGATTGAATAAGGGCTTGTATGGCCTGAAGCAAGCTCCTAGGCAATGGTATAAGAAATTTGATAATTCATGCACAGTGTAGGGTACAACAAATGTTAGACAGATCACTGTTGTTATGTCAGGTATTTTGACAATTCCTATATCATCCTACTGGTGATGTGGATGATATACATATTGTAGGTGCTAATATTAAGGAGATCAATAATCTGAAGGAGCATATATCAAAGCACTTTGCAATGAAGGATTTAAGACCTAGGCTACCAAAGAAGTTTTCCAGACCTCAATCAAAAGTGAGGTCAACAAGGCATGTTGAGACTCTCTCAGGCTGAGTATGTGAAAAAAATACTTAGCAGGTTCAATATGGATAAGGCCAAACCAGTTGACACACCCTTGGGAAGTTGATCCCGGATGAAATATAGTTGTGCAAAATATATAAAGTTGACTCTGCTATGCAACGGTGCCAAAAGCTTGATGCAATCTTTTATAAATAAGAAATTTAAGCCATTAATGTTCAAATTTTACGCAAGTATACATATTATTATCAAGTAATAAATGAATTTCTATTCAAGCCTCAAATATTGATCCCACTGT